AACATATATTAGAAGCAGAGACTATGATACATTTTCCCTCAGTATTTAGCATCTCTCCATATCCTGTATTTGGAATACCTGAACATGCCTAAGGACTTAGCCTCAGTCCAGACAGCAGTGGCCATCCTTAAGCACTCTCATCTGGAGGGAGACCCAAGGCACAAGCCACACTGAGGTTTTTCCCTCTGCAGGGCCTGATGTGGGGATGCAGAGGCTGAGCAAGGGGTTGTGGCTGCACTGAGCCTCATCTTCAGCATTTGTGCGAGGCCACTTCCACGTGGAAGGGTCCTGCGCTGCTGCCAAGTGTGAGAGGCACTGGAGCATGATGTCTGCCGGCTGAGCAGAGCCTCACATCAGCATCAGGGGAAGGCAGCCAGCTCTCCCTTTCACAGACGTGCTTGCATGATTTCACTTGCTCCCAAGATCAGTTACCAACATCTCTGTATTGAGGCCACTGTCACGCTAAGCTGATTGACCCACTGGTGTCCAAAGGGGAAGATTCATTGGTTAAAAGTGTTGAATATTTCTGTTAAAGCGTGGTTGCCACACAAGACCTAAAGGTTTTGGATATCATTTGTGTTTTATTAATTTGTACAGTGCAGTCTGTTATTTTTCCTTGATAGTAGGTTTGCTCCAGGCCCTATTTTGTTGGTTTCATTGAGGCTTCACTGCAAATGTCAGCAGTTCCTTGAGGACAAGTACTCGGTAGCTGCTGCCAGTTTCATTAAGTTAAATATTACAGAATTTAGCCATTCTGTGACCCTGCATGAGAGAGGTGTTTTCAGTACAGAAATTATTTCTCTGCACTTGATTCTCATGTCACAAACTATTTCTGTCAATGTGCTACCAATCTACTCTCAGGCTAGGCAATAATTCTGATATGACCATTGAAGGCAAGGCTCTCCTGCTCCTCCTCCTTCTCCTCCTCTTGGTTTTTAGAGTTTCCACAGGGTTCCTTGCTGCCCCAGAGGCTGGGATGGGCGGGGGGAGGCTGGGTGGTCTGCCAGTCAGGGAGAGAAGGGACAGGAATGTGCTGGCAGCATGCACAGTTGAGGCTACACATCCCAGCTGAGAGTTTAGACAATGACCTGACAGTAAGGGCTGGTAAAACAGTGACCTGTCTTTAAAGAAAGTGGAGAGTGACCCACCAGTGACTGAAGCCTGGACTGAAGAGGATCCCCACAGGAATCAAAGGGAAATGCTGGCTGTAGGATCCTAGTCACTCCACCTACACTGAGGGAACCCCATCCCATTTTCTTGGACTGTCAGAGGAGAGTGGTCAGCTCAGGGCTCCTCGGTGAACCCCACCAAGGCATTAGTGGGACCCTGCAGGAACATGAGGTTCATGGGGGGCTGTGGGGGAAAAGCGTTTGAGGACACTGGATGAACAACCTCTTAGGAGATGTTCCAAGTGGGCTACAGCACTGTGCCAGGATTATTGTGGGAATTTTAGAGTAAGGATCAAAGGCAGGGACAGGGAGGAATTAAGATGGACAGGGGAGGAACCAGCATGAAAAAAATTAAGGGCAAAGGGGATTAAAGGCGCTGGTGTGGGTGATAGCTGGCTGGTCAGAACACAACCCTCTGACCCAGCCCTGTATCTCATCGCCACAGCCTGTCCTAGTCTTACCACATATTCAGAGATAATAATATAACTAACAATGTGTTACTACTAATAATTATTGTTTCATTCTCTCAGTTGACTTTCTACGTGAGCACATGTTCTTCTCTGAGTCCATGTGAGAGAGCAGCACCAACCTTCAAACCAGACAAATGAGCAGCTGCAACTGAGCCAAGTGCCAGCAGCTGGAATGAGACCACGATCTTCAGAGATTGGAGGGCGCCAATGCCAGCAATGGGGGAACTGGGGCCAGCTCTGGGGCACACAGAGTAGCCAGTGCCAGATATTGGAGAGACCCATTTTCCATGTGTGTGTGCATATTTGCCTGGTGGATGTCAATCCTGATGAGCTGGAAGGAGCAGTACCCATCACGTGTGCTGCTCATGTGTGTGCCAGCACTGTGTGAAAGTGGCTGCCCCACAACAGAGAGAACAGTTTTGAACAAGAACGGGGGGTTAAAATGCCAAGTGCTCCATGGACAGCTTGTGCAGACATACTGAAAATTGCTTTGAAAGGACCTAGTGCGGGAGAGGGATGAACTCCCCAAATCCAGTCAAAGCCACCAAGAGGTCAGTGCCATTTGCTACAGGGAGCAGCTCATGAGCAGCCTGATCTTGAGAAGGCAACAGCAGCTCTGTTAATGCTACAACTTAAATGTTTTCCCTGAAGAAATGGTTTTACCTGAAAGCACCACTGGAAGTTCCCTTAGCTGGGGAGCTTAGCTTAGTTCCCTCCCAGAGCTGGGAGCCTGACGGGGTTGGGGTTGGCAGGAAGGAGGCAGGGTTGAGATTATTTGTTTCATTGGCGCAACTGCTCAGGAAAGGGACATCTGACACCAAGTCCACAGGTGTCCATGACTTGAGGAACCTGAGGTGAGAAGGCAGACAAGGAAGTTCATAGCCCAAAGTCATTTTTCCAAGAAGGACTTGGTCTCTACAGATGGCTGTCACTGAAAGATGGTCTTCATTGCTCAGGCTCAGCTGAATACTTCCATGGCATTGCTATCCCTCTACTGAATGTCCAAATACTTGCAGAAATGTGCAGCATCTAAATGATGTCATACTTTTCATCCAGATAGATGAGGAGTCTGGAAGGTCACCTTCAGCAGAGGTCCTGGGCTTGGGCTTAGCTTCTATGTGTAAATAGTCCCAGAGAAATCCAATAAAATTGCTTATGCACTTAAATTCGTTACTGGGCTGGAGCTGTGCCTATTTTCTGAATGAATTAAAAACCATACCAGATGTTCCTGTTTTATGGAAAAAAAAATTATTCCTATGAAGCTTCCATTTACAATTTTAATTTATATTACAGAGGTCTATGTATTATTTGATAGAGACTTCCAAAATATTCTTTTATGGTGTAAGAAATAATAAAAAGTATTCAATACTTATGCATCATGTCTAGCTATAATAATAAAATTAAAAAAAAAACAAACAGGATTTTTCCAATAAAATGTTTGGCAAAGCTAAAGTCTGATTTTTTCCCATTTTTTTTTATCTTGGGATCTTGGGATATGAATTTACTGTCAACTTGTCTGAAGTGTGTAAATTCAACAACATGGTAATTGGTTTACTATGCAGAAACTGGAGGCTTGGACTTTGCCAAGAATTTTTACTGTGTAAATTCTTCACTTTCCTCACATTCAAAAAGGCCATAAAAGCCATAATTCTGAAACCAGGTCTCAGTGAACAAAATCTCAGTCCTGCCTCAGGGTGAGGAGACCCACATGATGTGGGTGCAGAGCAGGTCCCACTGTGAAATGCGTTGTTAGTCCAGGCTCATCACTCCAAGGTATTTATGGCCTTAATACAGCCCCCATACTTTCCTTTCTGTCAGGAATGCTTAGCTCCCATCTCATAAAAAGATGAGTGCTCTCAAATCTGATTTTTTTCTATGGCTGATGCAGAAGCAGGCCCTAAAACCTATTAATTTAATAACAAATTTATTTTATTTGGGTTTATTGCAATGAATGGGAGAAGGTGGGATTGGCTGCCAAACTTCCAAAAGCAGGGTACAACACCTCTCTGCTCTTCAGATCTGTGTCACCACCTGGTTGTGAAATACCTTCTGAGGAGGGACAGGGAAAGGACAGTCCTCCAGAGCAGGACAGGGACAGAGGTGGACGGGAATACTTGGACTCTGGATTCAGGTCCAGAGCAAACATTCATCTGCTCCTCTGTCCTTGAAGCATCCTAGGAGACATTTTGCTGCTTGTATCCAAGAGGAGCAGTTCAGAAACATCTTTTGAATTGTTTTCTGGGAGAAAAAAAAAAAAAAAAAAAAAAAAAAAAAAAAAAAAAAAAAAAAAAGTGTATTGGGCTTGCATGGCCAGGCCTGTTTCCTGACTGCACTTTAGGTGTACAGTCGACACAGGACATAAGAGGGAACTATCTGCTCTACCCCAGACTGGTAAACAGGTAACAATGGACAAAGAGAAGGCTGAGGTACTCAACAACTTTTTTGCCTCATTCTTCAATGGCAGCATCTCTTCCCACACCTCTCCCATGGGTGAGGGGGGCTGGGGCAGCAAAGAGATGCCCACTGTAAGAGAAGATCAGATTCATGACACCTGAGGAACATGAATGTACATAAATACATGGAACCTTTTGAGATGCATCCTGAAGGAATTGGCTGATGTAGTTGTCAAGCCATTCTCCATGATATTGAAAAACTCATAGCAGTCAGGTGAAGTCCCAGGTAACTAGAAAAAAGGAAAATATTGTACCCAACTTTAAAACAGTAGAAAGGAGGAGTCTGGGAATTGAATTTCAGCTTGTGTGAGAGACTAGATACCATCCTTGAAGAGAAAACCTGTCTCTTGACATGTGGATCATGTAGTTCATAGAAGAGAGACTCCATCACACCTGCAGTTACCAGATCCTGATGCTTCCTGCAGGTCTAGTGACAAAGTGGCTCCAATAACACGCTCGTCACCTCCACTGTAAGAACTCACCATCATCCTGTTGTTGCAAGCCCACAGCTTCTTTCTTTCTGCCAATCTCTTTGATCTCCTCTCCAGGTGGCTCTGGAACAACTGAATTCCCCAACATGGAATGTATCAGACCCAGGAGGTCAGGGCTCAGTTCCAGCAGCTGAGTCCTTAGGGTAGAGGACAGCTCTTCTACTATGGATTTCCATACATTTGGAAGTCAAAATGAAAACATCCTACATGGGTCAACTGAAAAGGGAATTCAGGAATGGACTGCATTTGGGAATCCCATTCCTGGCATGGAGAATCCTTGCTCTTGTCATCCCTTGAGCAACACATCCCCACTGAGCCCAGCCCAGGTGTCTGAGCACTTTCCTTGCTCAGTGCTTGGAGGGCCTCTGGGTGATCACCCAAAAAACCCAAAATAATCCATCAGGTTTGAGGCAGGAGGACAGACTACTTTCATTTATTTTCCTCTCAGTAAACGTGATTACAAAATACCAACACAACAATAACAGATTCAGCCTGTTCCCTTGCTGATTTCAGCTTTCTTTAGAGGGGTGTTATTGATTACAAGGAACTGACAAAAACATGCACCTATGATTTCTTTTTCTTTTTTTTGCCTTAGCTATTTCCAAAGGAAAATAATTTGCATAGAATGGTCTTTTTAAAGAAAAACTCAAACAGTTCATTCAAAGGTGGGCTTATTTTTTAAAATAAATAGAGAAAACAACAAGCAAGCAGATGATTTTAAGTTAAAATCTTGGAAATCATAATTTTCAGTCATATATTTATTTACCACAATATTTAACCTAGAGGTTTAGTGACACTTTGTCCAGGGTTTCAGCTGTTGATTGGGGAATATCCATGTCCACCCAGCTCTTAATAGGGAGCCCTCCTGGAGAGGCTCCCCAGTGGCCACCAGGTCTAGATGGTTCATTGCTGAAGAATTCACAGACACACGTTAAATACTAAAGTAACCAATGCTCTTAGCAAAATTGCCCAGAGCAGCAACTGCTTCTGGAGGGGAAAATGAGGACAGGGCTTCCCCGTGCATCTGCTCCACGATGGGATATCCATGCAGGAAAATCCTCCCTGCAACACTGGGGTTGGTGCCAGCATTGGCTCTGTCCCTCTTCTCCCTCCTTGGGAACAGGCAGTGAGGACATGGGAGAGCAGCACCAGCTGTGGTGGTGGCTTCTGCCTCCTCACACAGGTGATGCCTGCATGTTTCCATGCAGGGGAATGCTGCAAAAAGCTTTTTGGGTCCACATCAGATTTTGGCATCTTGGACTTGCTGGTAGCAGGGAGTTCAAGGCTGACCTCTACCTGCATGAGAAAAGGCTTCTGGGGCTTTGTTCCAAACCTGCTGCCTGCAACAAAATGCTGATGAAGGGTTGGCTGAAACCACAACCAAAGTTTCAAACCTGCCCCCTCCCCTGGCCTAGGGCATCCAAAAGGCCCTGGGATCCACAAGTGGACACGCCTGAACCTGTGTGCTGCAGGACCTTGCAGAACCTCAAGCAAGCAGGTCACACACAGCCTGTTGCTTTCCTGGAGCAATGGAGCTCACACTCTTGGAGCAACCAGAGCTTTTCACTGGTTGAGAGTGCAGGGGTGAGGTTTTCATTTGCCTGAATACCAGGGAGTAGATGCATTCTATATGTAAGATTGAGAATTGTACCAAAAACCAGTCCAGAAGGATGTAGTCTGAATCCCTTATTTGCCGATTTACCATACGAAATTGTTCTTAATTGGAGTCTGGGCTCTTGGTGAGCGCCAGAAAATGCATACGAAAAGCTCCATATGCATATGCATGTGCGTGCATTCATCTGTGTGGGCAGAGAAGGAACATGCTCAGCATTGCTTATTGCCTCCTCCGCCCTTCAGCGGCTCAGGGCAGGAGCAGCACCTGGATCCTGCCGCCCGTCCCGCGGCACTCCCCCATCAGCCAGCGGCACACAGCGAGCCCCGCACTGCGGGACAGTCGCCCAAATTGTTGCGAGGACACCGCTGGCTGTGGAAAAGGGCACCAAAGAAAGCGGGCCGAGCTCACAGGCAGCGAAAAACAGGACTGTGTTCTTCAGATAATTTATTTGCAATGAATAATTCAGCTAGCTTTAGCTGGAAAGCTGCATTAAATACAGAGCATTAGGCACTCTGAGAGCCCCCAATAAAGGGCGCTATTCACTCCTAGCACAAAGGAATATTATTTACTATCATTAATTAACTTCCACACAAAGCCACAGCCATTTCCTTGGGTTCTGAGAAAGAATAAGAGGAGAATGTGAGCGCAGAGCTGCCGCAATTTCCCTTTGGTTTCCTCTCAGCAGACGCACACCGGCTGCGGGCTGAGCTTTGCTCCCCGCGGCATTTTGGCAGCGCTGTGCCTGTGGCGGAGCCCAGCAGGTCGCTGGCTGTGGCGGGGATGGATGAGCGCACCCCGCCGCCGCTGTGGGGCTGTGCTGGGGCTGCCCCAGCGCTCCTGGTGCCCCGGGCTGCCCGGCGGGCCGCAGGAGCCCGGCTGGTACAAGCTGGCATTCCCCACGCTCCCGCAGCCCAGGGATGCAGACTGCTAAAAGCCTAAGGAGGCAGGGAGGCGTTTGCCTTCGGGAAATGGGTTGAGAGTCTGGATGCTCCATCTACCTAGTGAGAGCGTTTTTTTAGTTTTAATGAACCGCTGTGCTAATTAGTTCTCTGAAGTGTCTGCTTTGAAATACCAAGCTTTAGGATAAGTAGAAATGCAAATTCTTGGCAATTATTATTACCGCTGCAGTAGTGACTAGAGAGCAGCTCTTTGCAAGCAAAAAGGGAGATAGGCAGCTTGTGCCGGGTGGTTACAGAGCTTGTTTTCATCTGTTACATTGTGCTCTTGGCAGGTGATGTTGTAGATCGCACAAAAGGCTGGGTGGAGATTCTCGGTCAAAATATTTTTCTGTTGGAAGACATGGGTTTAAGTTATATTGGAATATTTCATAAATACACATTGATTTTTTAAATTATTTTTTCTGTTTTAGTGCTGAAGCTCTGTTCTCTTTATCCATGAAAGTCCACATTTTTCCTCTGAGATTTTAGATGAAAAAGGCAAAATGAAATTCTAAGTCAGATCTTACTTCAATGAATGACATACTTTTAGAAATGTCAAGAAGTCAGAAAATTAAGTCTCAAATGGAATTAGGGGTTCCATTTGATTCCATGTGATTTCCCTCTACTTTTTTTATTTGCTGAGAAATCCTGAGGGTTTTGCAGCCCAAACATTCTGCTGGGAGAAAGATGTGGGATGGCTGAGAGAGGAACAGATCTGTCTGCAATCCTGCAGTGCTGCACCAACCAGCCCAGGCAGAACCTGGAGACAGACCCCTGGCAGAAGGCAGGATGTGGGGTAGAATTAATTGTCTTCACAGTGGCTGGTGTGGGGCTGTGTTTTAGATTTGTGTGGAACAGAGGGTTGATAACAGGGAGATGTTTTTGTTATTGCTGAGCAGGGCTTACACAGAGCCAAGGCCTTTTCTGCTTTTGTACTGCCATGCTGGGGCTGCTTGTGAGGCTGGAGGGGGGACACAGCCAGGACAGGTGACCCCAACTGACCAAAGGGACATTCCAGACCATCTGACATGCTCTGTGCATAAAGTGGGGGGAAGGAGGAAGAGGAGGACATTTGCAGCAATAGCTTTTGTCTTCCCAAGTCACCATTATGTGTGGTGGGTCCCTGCTCTTGCGGGGATGGCTGAACACTACCTGCCCAGGGGAAGCAGTGAATTAATCCCTTGTTCTGCTTTGCTTGTGTGCATGGCTTTTACTTTGCCTATTAAAATATCTTTGTCTCAACCCATGAGTTTTTCCATCTTTCACCCTTGTGATTCTCTCCCTGATCCCACTGTTGGGGCAGTGAGTGGCTGTGTGGGGCTTGGCCACTGGCTGGGGTTACACCAGGACAGAGACATGCACAGGTGTCATGCCACATGGTCTAGGCAGGAGCCTAAGTGGTTCTCAAGGATTTAGGTGCCTTTAGGTGAAATTTTGGATAAATTCCATTGTAGTTGAGATTTGGAAGGATCAGCACTAGCCATTGCTATCTCTGTTTTACTGTCTGAAGTGCACTGACAGGCAGTCACAACCCTGCTATACACGACCTTGGTGTGGTGGGGTGATGTGGGAGGGGGTTTGTGCACTGCCCATCCCAGAGGCTGCCTGAAGCCAGAGGTGCCTTTGGCAGAAGCCCTACATCCCACCCTCTGGCAGAAGCCCTGCATCCCACCCTCTGGCAGAAGCCTTGCATCCCACCCTCTGGCATCAGCAGCCAACACTCCCCATGTGCCCCCTGCTTTGGGCTGCCGAGGGGGCTGCTCTGCCCTTTGAACCCCTCAAGCTGCCCTTCTCTTGGTCTTGAGGTAAGAGCAAGGTGTGGTAGGGAGAGGGAATTTTCACATGGAGAAACCTGGCACAAAGCAGGAGTCGAGTTTTCTCATGTTGGTCCTTTCTGTTCCCATACAAGAGCTCCATGGTCTTATTGAGCTTCTGAGACAGGGAACAAGCTGTGATTTTTAAAAGTAATTGCCTGTGGGAGATATTAATTCTATTTTTATCTTTCCCTATAACAAAAGCTTTTCAATAATGTCCTCACCACTCATCAGCATTACCCACTAAATACATTTAAATAGCACAGTTTCTGTACTACCCTTTTAACTCCCTGCTTGCCTCTTGATATTTGGCCCAAGAAATAAATGCCAGATTTGTGTTTCCAACACTATTGTACTTACACACTCTGGGGACACCTTTCAAAGATCATTTCCTAAGACAGAAAGATACTCTGTTGTGAAGGAGACTGTCCTAACCTGGAAAACAAGAAAGTAACACACACACACTCAACTCAGAGATCAATTGAAAATGCCCACGGTAAAAAAGAAGAGCTTATGAGTCCATTTGAGTTTCAAATTCCATTTGAACAGCAAAGATTAGGTAGAGAGGATTCATGAAGCCACTTGGTTGCATAGTCCCAAATAAAACTGGGATTAGCAAATAATTTGAACATAGAACTCCATTAAATACAAAATGTAGACCCACCCTAAACCACACACAGGCACAGCAAACACATAGTGAGCAGAAAGATCTGTCATGAAGCACTGGGCTAGACTTAAGGTGGCTGTCAACCTTTATCAAAACTCCCCAAACAATTAAAAAAAAAAAAAACAGAACAAAAAGTCTGCCTGCAGAGATTTAGGGGAAAGAAACGAACCATAAAGACTCCACAGATCACCCCATATCCCGTGTCACTGTTAGGGACTTTGCCAGCCAGACATGCCTTGGTGGTCAGTGGACTGTGAGTGTGCCCTAGCACTGTCCCAGAGCCACAGGAGGCTCCCATGAGGGGTCAGTGAGGCAGGACAGTGCAGGCAGGGAGTGGGCACACAGCTCTGGGAGCAGAGGTGCACCATATCAAACCCTGAAACAGCCCAAGATCCACACATGGAGAGATTAAAAGTCAACCTTTCAGCAGGGGGAAATGGACCTAAGGCTTTGCACCTTCTGAGGCACAGCATAGAAGCTCCTTGCCCATGATGAAGATGAATCACAAAAAAAATCCTTGGATGCAAACCAGGGTTGATCAAAACTGTCTAATCCTTCCACTCTAAGTTCCTCAATTTCCCAAGACAAATTATAGCATCTGAGTATTTACTACTCTGTGCAAACTAATGGGAAAACAAAAAAGATCCACCCAAAATCATAAAGATTTCTCCTCCTTCTGGGTATATCTTGAAATATGTTGAATAATTACAACTTAGTTGGAAGATCATACTTAAAAATAACTTTTCTTAGACCCCTGTTGAGTTTTTTTACCCACAACCTCTCTGGCCCTCCAGGCACCTCCCACCCACTCCAATCTTATCACCAGAAGCAACGTAGATAAGATTAGAAATTATTTGGGTAAAAACTGACCATTAATCTCCACACCTGACTAACTGGGAGAGCTGATAAAGACCCAGCAGAACCCAGTTGCCCACAAAAGATGTGCATTCACAGCACTCCACTTCTGGCTCTCAGCTTTTGATTCTCAAGGGATCCAGCTGCTTTCAAAAGGTAAAACTTCAAAGAAAAATTCATGATTACTTCAGATACTGAAAATTATGGACTCCATGAATTTGGCTACTTTTTCCAGCTGAGTGGTTTTCTAACAATTATTATTTTTCCTTCTCAGCCTTGATCTCTGAAGAGCTTTCCCTGGATTTTTTTTTCTTTTGCTAAGGGAACAGTTTTGCCTTCTAAAGCCACTTATCCCCATGGTGATTATTCAGCTATTGTCAGAGTAGGACACATTGGGTTCACACATGTCACACCAGAAACACTACACTAAGAATAACCTTTGAACTAACTCTTCAACTGAATCCTTATTCCTGGGATTTATATTGATGAAAAACAGCAATAAAAGCATTTTTAAAGACCATTGAGAAATCTCTTGGGCAATACTCCTGCTCTATCCTGAAGTAATTTTTTTACTCCTCCTGGGGTAAAAAGATTGTTAAGGAGAACTGCTTTATAATGTATCATGAATTATTTAACATATTAAACGAATAAAGTCTGTAAAAATATACCAAATTTCAGTAATCAACTTCCTCAAAAAAAAAAATCAGGACAAGTTTAGCAGTAAATTATCAGATACACTGGAAATTTTATGCAACAGACTTACCAGATGCACAAAGTTTATGCAGTTGCCTAATCAAGAGCACTGGGGGCTGAAATCAGTGATCTCTGAACATTCCTTCCAGCCCAAAATGTTCTGAGTTTGTGTCACGCACCAGGCAGATAGATGGGATTTATACTCTTCTGTCCATCATTTTGAGAAATAATGCAACATTACAAAAGACCTTTTAGATCCTGTGCTATAGAAAGATATTTTCAGTATTTACCAGACTTGGAAAACATTATGAACATGCTCACCAGAATTAAATGGTATCATGAGCCAACCAGAATTCATTTTCTGCACGCATTCTAAATTAATTGCTTCACTGAAGAGCATGTGTGAAAAGAAATACAAAAAGAAAAATATTCAGATTCCACAATTTTTTTTCCAAGGAAAACAAGAATTAGAAAAAAAGAATTAGAAAAATTCAGCAGTTAATTTACATTTTCCACGAGAAGATAAAAATGGTAATTGTGAAAATACTGTAGCTTGAAATTCAGTTTGGAAGGTAAAAAGCTCCCAGCCAGGACCTGAAGAAGTTGTCAGCAAAGGGGACCTTTTTCAAAAGCCCTACTACCAAGGCTATGAAAGTAGAAAAAGAGCACTTTGACATTACAGAGGGCCTCAGAACCATGAGTAACCTGGGAGAAAATGGAGAAGTAGGTCCCAGACTTCTGCTGCTTCATCTTTTCAGAAGAAATTATGGTAATATTTCTAAGGAGCTCATCCAAGCCAACAGCACGAGTGTCAGAACTCAAAATGTCCCTCAGACATTTTCAGAGGTTCCAAGCCTTGGTCAGAAGCATTTTAGACCCTGGCAAGAAGCTGGAAACAGCTGTGATTTTGAGTTTGAGCCATGGAATGAGTTACCAACTTTGAAGGTGGAACAAGTGGTCACAGAGGGTTAGATGGTATAGTAGAAGTAATTACAAATTAGAGGGGAAAAATTTTTAGTATTGTACAGGGGGGTTTTAACACCTGTACAGGGGGGTTTTACTTTCTACAAGGGGGTCAAGAGTTCTAAGATGGAGGAAAGTGGGCCTGATCCTGTTCTTCCTCCTTCTCCTTCCTTGCCTCCATGTTCTTGGTGATGTTGGCACTCACAGATTGGTTTAGAGTAGAAAAGCACATTGTAACATAGATAGTAGGTATTGGGGAAAATCTGTAAACATATAATACGTAATATATCATATAAAAGATAGCAGCAACCCTGGGCGGGGAGAGAGAAGACAAGACACCAGACAGTGAGGGTGTCAGGAGTGTGTGTGTCTCTGCCTGGGCTGCTGACCTAGGCAGCCGCAGCCGGCGAAGACAATCTTTTCGACAACTAGCAATAAACTGCCTTGAGACCGAACAACAAGAGGCTGCGGAGTTTTTCTTTGGAATCACGGGTTGGAGGAGAGATTTACCACCACACGAGACCCCTGAATCAATCCCGGGGTTCTCACACACAAGCAGAGAGCCGTGCCTGGCAGAGGCAGCATACAGAGGCCATGGGGCGGGATGGAGCTCTTTGGATGCAGCTTTTTTGTACAGCCACCAATTAAATTGTCTCCTGCTCTCTGCTCAGCCACCCAACGCAGCTCCAGCACTTCCAGCAGGAGCTCTGGCAGAAGCCACACAGCAGAGACCTGAGGTTTTCTGGCTTTGTGTGGCTCTGGAAATATTTACTCCACAAATTCATTTGTGTAGCTCCTCCAATGCTGAGCTGCACAGCAGTGTCATGCTGGGGTCAAACCATGACCTCCTACAGCTCCTGCACATGGAGTAGGGGACACAGCCAGTGACACAGTACTGCAGCCAGGAGCTGCTCCTGCACCCCTTCCCTCTTTCCTCTGGCAGCTCCTGCACAGCTTGTATTTCTACCAGCAGTTTACCCCACCAGGATTCCAGGCATCATGGTTCTCTTACTTGGAAAGTAAGATAAAGCTGAACATTTTCATTATTGAAATGAGCAGAGCTCACTTTCAATGCAAATATTGACTTGTGTGGTATAAAAAAAATTTTTTTGCAGCATACCTGATGTCTCTCTGACAAAGGAATACTATAAAAAGGACATAAATTGAGCAGCAGAAAAACCTAACAGATGTACCCTCTGAGTGAGTGGAAGTCATGAGAAGCTGCAGGCAGTGGAGTGGGAGTCAATAAATCATGGGTTCTCCTGCACAATCAGTGTAGGAAGTAACAGCAGAGAGGGCTGGGAACTCAGTGCATGCCACAGTGGGGTCTGGCCAGGTGGAGTTTTTTAATATCTAAATATTCAGTGTGCTCTTGAAGGAATATTGTGGTTTTCACTTTTGAAATATTACTGAATTTAACTTGTGTCAAATGCAATTTGTTTAAACACTTTTGCTAAACCAAAATATACCAGCCTGTTTATTTTGGAGAGATGAGGAGCAAGTGGCAAGGATTGGCAAAGGGTCTTTTCCTTCCCTCAGTGGATTTGGGTCAAGTGTTTACAGATTCATACATGCTGTCAGAGCAGTATCCACCCAAATTTTCTAGCACAAATGAACTCCTTAAATAACGTGGGTCTCCATCCAGGCTTGAAGGTGACCATGAGTTTACAGCAAAAGGACCTTCCTGTGTATTTTTGAGTGCACTCCAGATTTGAAGGAGCTAAAAAATCCCTATTGGTCTGGTAAGTAGCGCCTCATTGCAGGAAACACAAACTGCTGCCTGTGCCTGCACTGGGCACTATGTCAGGTCCTGGGTCACTTGCACTTGCACAGGTTACACTGCAGCTCAAGCTGAGCTGCTTTTTTATTCACTGGCTAAAAGATTTGGGGAAATTATTTTGCCAAAGAGTAAGAATTTCTGGTACCTGACCCTCAGGGGAATTCTAATGTTACAAGTTTCCTGTGATTAGAGCCATTATGGAGACTCTTCAGCTGGAAGGAAGTAGAAATGGATTAGAAGTATTCTACATGGGTGGCTTTATGGTAAACCAAGAGCAGCCCAGTGCTGGGCAGTTGGCAGCACCAATTAACCAGTTATATAAGCAGCGAAATACCACAGCAAATATCTGGTGGTTACTCTGTACTTTTACTCTAAGAATTAACTCCTGCTCCCCAGTAATTGGCTTTCTCCCCTTCATTTCTGTGTGCTGCTGATCTCTGATGTCTTGTGTCCCCTTTAAGCATTTTTACCTCCAAAAGTAAGTGTTACAGCAAGCAACTCTGAAGCTAGCTATTTCCCAACCTTTTTAACCGTATATTTGATAAAATGCTAAATAGTAGAGAATAAAAGACCAGTGATGAGGTATTTAATGAAGGTAATATTTAATGTGAAACTCACATTGAATGCTCGGACACAAGCTCTTCAAGCTGGAAAAACATTTTCTGCAAACATCACTTAGCAGAGGGAGATCCCAGACTCCTGAGCTTCCCTACCAGGACAACATTCACCCTCAGGGCAGCTCTGCTTCCCACACCTCTGCCGCAGAGACTCCTGTTGCTGCCCTCCTCCTTGAAGGACAGCCCCAAAAGGGCAGGAAACTTCAAGACAAGGGACATTGATTGCTTTTATTTCTCCATGCCAGGAAAAAACATGTTTTTCCTGATTTTCTGATGCTATTCCAAAAGCTGTGATGATCATAACAACTCAATTAGGCTGGCAGAAAAAAACAAAAAAGTGCTGAAATCTGAAGCAGAAACTCTCCTGCTCCAGCCATCCCCTGCTGTGCTCCCTCCTGACAGTCATCAGTCCCTGGAACTGAACCACAGCCTGAACAAGCTTCCCTGTCACTCTGAGCTACCATATTCCTTGTCTCTGTGACATTTGTTTTCTTTTATAGCTATTTTCAACTGTTGCTAAACATTCCTCTGAAATGACACCTTCTCCTTTAATCTGCAGCCAAAACCCATTGCTTGCTCCCTGCGTGGGACATGTCTGCCCCTCTCCTGGATCTGAGAAGCTGCAGCTGCATCGCTGTGATCTTGTGTCTGGTCTTCTCTTTCTTCCCTTCAGTCAAAGTTTTCTAGAAAGGGAATGCCCTTCTTCTTCCAACCCATTCCCAGTAAAGCCTGTGAGCACTCACCATATCAAAAGCTAGTGCTAGCTTACCTATGCAAAGCGGGGCTGTTCCTTGAAGAAGAGTAAAATGAAAACGAGCTGCTAACCTGCCCCTGAGTCTGCTCAGATGCACTTGGATGGAGCAAGAACATCCAACTTATCTGGATATTTGTTTGATCCAAAACTGTATCCTTAAGAAGAGGTATTTTTCATCAAACACATCTTGAAGGAGGAATGCCATCTGTAGCCTGGTATTTCCTTCAGTGCGATGGCAGACTTCTCCAAACTCAGATTTCAGCCCACCGGCTGCCAGTGGCAGTTTGCTGCCAACAGGAGGAGAACCTGCTGCAAACAGGTACAGCCGCCACAGGTGCCTGCATGCTTCCCTGGAGTATCTGGAAGAGGTTACTTAACATGGACCAGCATCCCCGCTTGTTACCACTTCTCATGTGTAACACATGCTCTGCTGCCTGCTGCAGCGCTGGAGAAACCAGGAGCACAAGTGTCCCACGCTGAATAGTGTTAGGTTATGTGACTGATGGATCACTGCCCCCAGGACATGGAAGCAGACGCACCGTGACAAGCAGGGAAGCCCCCATGGCCACGCCAGAGCCGCCTGAGCCCGCGATGGGGCTGCTCCCAGGACTGTCCGGGAAAGCCACCAGTCCCACCGGCAGGGCTCCCGGCAGCTCCCAGCCGAAGGTGCGAGTGCCTGTGGGGCTGGGGCTCACGGGGCAGATGGCTGGCGACGCGTTCCGTGCGCTGTGACCGACGGCTGTGCGTCCTTGTCTCCTATCGGCTGTGGCTGATTGGGCACACTCGCCAAGCCTTGCCGCAGCCCGGCCCGGGGCGGCAATAGCGCTTTCCCAGCGCCACCCCCGCGTTCCCCGCACCGCCACAGCCCGCACCGCCACAGCCCCACAGCCACAGCCACAGCCCGCACCGCCACAGCCCCACAGCCACAGCCCGCACAGCCACAGCCCGCCGAGCCGCCGCACCGCCAGCAGCTCCCGCCGGGGCGTGCCTGAGGGGCTGTCCCACACGGCTGCTCTAGCACGCTGCGCTGCTCCCACCCGCGGGTCCTAATCCCCGGAGCGCTGTGCTTGAACGGATTTACCGCCCGGGGTCAGCACCGGCCGAGGCCAGGTCGGGAACACACGATCTCTGAGAGAGCCACAAACGAGACGGCCCCGCTGTACCTGAGCGGACCCAAAGAAGGAGGCACCGAGTCTGCTCAGACCCTGTTCTAGACTTTAGCATCCCTCGCAGATGCGGGGCCGAGCCCTAATGCCGGCTCGGGGAGGAAGCACCGCGCTGTGGAAGGGGGTACGCGCAGGGAACATGATGCCGGCTGGACCTGAGCACATGGAAGCACAGGGGCAGTATAAAAGCACGGGACAGCCTTTTTCTGGCTGGGCTGGGGTCAAGAGAACTTCCAGAACTGCAAAGGGCAGCCCCGGAGACGCTTGGTCAAGCACAATAAACCATCAGCCTTCTGATGAAGAGTTGAAGCTGCAAATGCTAAACCACTGCCGGCTAGAAATGACTTACAAGACATTTTGAAATGTGGACTAGTTCACATCAAAAACCTCTGCTTAACTCTATAAAAATCAAGTGGTGACCAGCAGATTAGAAAGTAAATCTCAGGGTTACTTTTAATGTCACCATTTATACTTCTAATGCCCGTTTGCCTACGGATGGACCATGCCTCTCATCACTCTTCTGGCAGTACAACAGGGAGGGAAAGCACCGAGGCACTGCAGCCCACAGCAAGCTGTACACGGCCACCCTGAGGCCACAG